TTACCCGAATTGAACAGCTGAATAGTATCTGGTGCGTAGCTGTCACTGTGCTCGAATTCTAACTTGTCGGGAGGTTTTTCTTCTTCCTCGCGTCCACCGACTGTAAACCGGAGGAAAGTCTTGGTTGTCCGTCCACTTCTGGTCTTTAGCCTTGTTGCAGAACTAGGGTTTTGTTTGAACTCGGCTTTACAGTTCTGGCTTAGTTGTGTGCAGAATGTTGCTTCCCTGCCTCTCGGGCAGCTGCAGTCGATGGAAACGGTGATCCAGTTTACTATGGCCACGCTAACGACAGGAGATAAACAATATATGTATATATATATATGTGTGTGTGTATTTATATATATATATATATATATATATATATATATATATATATATATATATATATATAAACACATATTGTTCATTACTTATATAAAGAAGTAAAAAGATAGAAAGACACACTTGATAACGTACAAATCGAAACATATGGTTACCGTGTGCGGAATCGAACTAGTCTCCTCCAAATGACGACAGCTCCTCGCTTCAGAAAGAAAGAGACTAAGACAAAAGCAATGTCAATTTCAAACAAAAAAGTCTCACCTTAATAGGGGCGTTGCAACAAATGACCACCAAACCGGAATGCTAACGTACTATCCTCGCGCGCCGACCCAAAGAAAAAAATTAGGCCTACAACCCCATCACCCCTACCTTTCCTAACCTTGCAAATTTTTAAGGCAAAATGAAGAAGAAGGGGGAAAGAGGTCGGGGGAATTAATACCCAAACTCCCTACCAATACAGCAGTGTTTACATAATGACTGCCGATAATAGACCCAGTTCAGCCACAAACTGTTTACTTCTAGTGTTGGAGAGTACTCGTAATTTTTCGTGTGTTGATTTGCCAGTAAAGGCTCCCGCGTTCACCCAATTAACATTTCAGGGAGTAATGTCGTGAATTCCAGAAATCCCAGAGAGTTATCAATGGGGGAGGACAAGGTCAGAGGACATGTGATACAAGAGGAAAACAAGATAAGTGGGTCTCGAATATCGTGTGGTGAATAAAATAAGGGGTACAAGAAAAGCATGGGACTGGAACGGAAGACGTGAACTGAGAGACGGGAGTAAGACAGTTGAAGTTCGGACCTGGTTGCGAGAGGTCGCATGAGTGAACGCCTGAGGAGAATGGAGTAATTGTGAATACTTGTAAAGTTTCGAGAGAATATATGAATGTTTCCTACATGTCCTAATACCAGGTACAAGGCTTTGCTAGAAGATGGATGTGTGATTCGAAAGACGCTAATGGATCAAAGCAGTGTGTGAGAGGATTGACCAGGCCGTCAAAAATCAGCCAAGCAGAAAGAACAGGAGGACGAAAGAATGCGTGCCTATGATATGTTGTGATTCAGCGAATAAAGTATACAACTGAACATTTGTCTCTACTGTGTCGTAGCAACCAAATGTTAGTCATATAGCGATGTCGCGTTAAAAAAAAAGCCACCCCTAGCAGAGCACATTGCACAGGGAAATGTAAACACGCAATGCTAGCCCCAATCGATAGGCTCAAAACATGCAGGCATCTGTGTATATCGTCTGCCTTACCTGCAAAGTGAACGCCGAAAATTAGTTTATGCATAATAACTTAATTTGCTAATGTGGGATAATAGCCCGGAACTTTTTAGTTGGCGTTCAAGTGAAGCATGGACAGTTTGTAGATTAGTTTTAAAAATATATATATATATTTGACAGCTACGGAGATGTGGTTTTATAGATAAATGATGAGAATACCCTAGGCAGATAAAAAGAGTAATGAAGATGTCTTGAAAGAAACCCACTCGTGAAGAAAACCAATTGTTTACATCTTAAGGAGAAAATCTACATTCGTTGGTCATGTCATCATCATCATGTGCCCTGCCAACTGGCGTAGGCGCTCATGCGTCTCCACAGATCACGATCCCTGGTTGACCGGAACAGCTCTCTTGATGATATCCCTCCATGCCATCGTTTTAGCCCATCCAGCATCATCTCTCTTAGTCTGCCTTTACCCCTTTTTCCACTGATCTTTCAAGTTGTCACAATGTTCTCCAATGTCTCTCTTCTCACTACGTGGCCAAAGAACAGTGTTTGTCTCTTTTTTATTGTTGTATATAGAGATCTACTTTCATTAGCTTCTTTTAAGTAATCGTTGTTAGTTACTCTGGCCGTTGGTCATGTCATGAGAAGGAGACAACTACGGTAAATCCTGACAGTAGGAACGTTGGAGGGGAAGAGAGGCAGAGGAAGACGGACGAGAGAAAATGCTGGACAGTTTGATAGCATTGTACTGTTATAAGTGAAAAAAAATATGGACTTCTTCAATCTGCCTCAAGGGCTTCACTATAGTTGAGTCTTTTTTCCTTTGCTGTTTGGTTTGGTCCTTTTTTGTGATGTTTGTTCACATCTGCCTTTTGAACTATCTTGTTCCGACTGATGCTTTCAGGTTTCTGAACTGCCTTCTGCGGTTTTTGCTGGTTTGCATGCATACGGTCACTGATTGCACCAGGACCTCCCCCGGCATATCACATCGAAGCCGACAAGTCTACCATTGAGCGAGCCCAAAACGAGGCCCTTTTCAGGGTCCCCCATTTAATATCTTTTTTGGTGCTTTTATATTTTCGCATCATGCACGTTCTTGTGCGTTAGATTTTTTTTTTTTTTTTGCTGTGTATTTTTGTTTTGACCACCTCATTTTTTTCCCTCATTTTTTAAGCAGTTTTTTTTCCTGGGGTCTGTTGGTAGCATACATACATACTCACATGCATACACACACATACTCACATACATACACACATACACACACATACACACATTCAAACACACACATAGATACATACACACATACATACATACACACACACATACATACATACATACATACATACATACATACATACAAACATACCTGCATGCATGCATGCATGCATGCATGCATGCATGCATACATACATACATACATACATACATACATACACACATTCAAACACACACATAGATACATACACACATACATACATACACACACACATACATACATACATACATACATACAAACATACCTGCATGCATACAAACATACATACATACATACATACATACATACATACATACATACATACATACATACATACATACATACATACATACATACATACATACATACATACATACATACATACATACATACATACATACATACATACATACATACATACATTCATAATACAAGAGTAAGCCGATAGGTAAGTCACATATGGTTATGGGATTGCAGGAAAATGTAGCTAGGTGACAGCAACATCAAACTTCATGTTTCTGTTCGCCACGTGTCGCTAGGTAGTGCTAGTGCATTCGCAACATAGAAACAAAATGGCGACTGAACTTACCGATATGACAAGATGCGTGCATAATACATAAATAATACACACACAATAAGCATAAAAATACCCACAGGCACCCACACTGATACATACCTTTACATACCTATACACAAACTAATTCATATACATATTTCACATATACATACCAAAGCGTACCCACCAAACTATACATATACCTTCTTGCACATTTAATAAATACACTAGCACAAAATCATACAGACACATATACATACATAAGTACACACACACACACACACTTAACATACTTACGCACATGCATGCACATACATTCATTCACACTCAAACATACTTATTCATTCACAAACACCTATACACACACAAACATCCATACCGTCACCCCCTGCCTCCCCCCCCCCACCTTACCTACCTTCTCCCCACCTTATCTCATTTATACACAGTTCCCATATTTACATACTCCCCTACACGCGAACACAACTATCCCTACATACATTCCACAAATATGTGCTCGCGGGAAGAAGAAAACTAAAAACAAGGGGTGGGGGGGGGGATGTGGCTATGACAATAAGTAGCTCCCCGCTGAACTGCAAAAACAGGAAAAGTAGAGAAAATACAAGGCTCTTCTGTGCAGGGACTATGAGTGTTGATCTTAACCCGGACCCATAAATATGTAAATAGCTGAGTTACATGACAACATTATATAAGACTACATAGTTAACGCCATGACAAATGACGTGCACGAACCAAATGTTATGTCCAAAATCAAAACGAATTAAGTTATAATCATCACATTAAACATCTGTTTATTTTCCTGAAAACAAAACTAACGCGCTTCATAGATGACAATACATTACCAATCAACATCATGTTCACACAGACCATGTGTTAAAAACTCCAGCTAACCAAGACAAGCTCGCTTTCAGGGACCTGCAAGTATCAATCTCTGAGCGATGATAAACATTGAAAACTGGGTCCAACACGTCTGATTAGTGAAAAACATTTTAATACTTACATCACCGTTAAAAGAAACTTATCTATAAAACCGCCATCTAACTATAGAAAACGTACCATCAAAATCGTGAAACCGCAAGCCAGTATGTCCATCTCGGCTTAATCTGCCCGTTGTGACCACGTGCGGTCACGCCACGACAGTGCGACTGACCAGAGCGACAAGCCAATAACAAAGAGCTAGGAGGCGACCGAGCTCTCTATTCCTGTGCGTCCGTCTTTCATTGCCACCTGCCAGATTTATTCCGCAATTACAGCCTAACGAAAATGGTAACATGCCTGAAATTTACCTTTTATTCCGTCGGCTCGATACTGGCAAGCATGAAATGAAAAAGTTTGGGGTTAAATAAGTAGGGACTCTTAGTAGTTTTCAGATCGAGTGGAAGATGGTTCCAAAAATGAGCAGCAGAATATGCTGAACTTGTTTTAAAAAATCAGTTCTCGGTTTAGGCAGAGAGAGAGAGAGAGAGAGAGAGAGAGAGAGAGAGAGAGAGAGAGAGAGAAAGAAAGAAAGAGAGAGAGAGAGAGAGAGAGCGAAAGAGAGAGAGAGCGAAAGAGAGAGAGAGAGTTAGAGAGATAGAGAAAGAGCCCCAAAAAATTGTGCAGAAAGGATTTGTTTCTCGTTAACAATTCTGTCCTTCATCAAAGAAGTAGCTGACTATTTCCCCATTTTTAACTAATGTTTCATTGCAACCTCCATTCATGTAAGCCCTTTGCACGAAAGCAAATTTAGAAAATAACAGGGAACATGGAACTTTGTCTTCATTAACAGGCTCCTCCACACTGTGAAGCCACTTTCCAGATCTACATAGGTCAATATTGTAGTATGAATTTATCACAGCACGAGTGTTGTGAGAAGCCAGCAGTGTTAGATTCATGAAAGGTCTTCTCCTCAACGGAAATATTATCGTCTTCGGATAGCAAAACCATTCGGCGTACCACGGGGTTACATCCCAGATGTGAGTTTGGTTCTCATCGAAAAAGAAGATATCCAGGAACGGCCAGCGCCAGCTGCAGCCGCTGATAGGGTCAGCGTGGACTGAGTACAGTTTCCAGTAATATTTTAAGTCCTTGTTGATGGTGTATTCGTGGCTTATCCGTGAGAATGCTTGTTGAACAGAATGGTTTGCTGCAAGTGGAACAAGAAAGTCGACGTCGTCATCCCAGGGTATAAGACCGTGATGTCTGTAGGAGCCAATCAGTGTTCCGCCATACATCATGTATGTTATGTTATTTTCAGTCATCACTGAGATAAACACATTGATTGTTTTCCACAGAAGTACAGCATATGCTTCTGGAAACTTTGATCGAAAATACGACATTTTGTCTTGTGAGTTGTTGGTCCCATTGATCTGCTGAGCGATTGGAGATTGAGGTTGGCTTTTTTTATAATCAATAACGTATTTCTCATCCAGCTTCGCGTGATGAGAGGCATTTCCAGAACTCTTTAATATATCCTTCTGTGCGTAAACAGACAGGTTCTTTGATGCCGTTTCCTTCGACACAAGGCCATTACCAGACAACTGTCTCGATTTATTTTGAATATCAAAATCACTATCCCCGTGCAGCATGTGTGTCTTAGCTAGATACTTGGACACATACGATACACTCGACGAAAACGTGACAATCGTTAGAACCAGAATCAAAATCACACACACGCTCTTTCTTTCTCGCCAAGGTAAAATAGTAAAACACTTTGGGAGCAAGTGAGCCATGTGGAAGTCGGAATCGATCATTGCGGTCTGAAGAGAAATAATTTACTGGGAAGTGACTAGATGATCTGGCCGGTACTCTATACTCAAAGGAAAGGCAAGAAATTTAACATATCATCTAACTTCTGCTACTGCTACTGGCAGTAGAACTCTTCTCTAGGTAGCTGCTGAAGATGGGACAGCGAGTATGAGAATGTCCCGAATGCTGTGTCGGTACTGAACTCAAGCTGCTGTTTTCCCAATCTGGAGGTGAAGACGTACAATTACTGTGAATTCTGCAGAAGAAAGAAACAGATTAAATAGAAACACAAACGTTAACAACATAACACAACCCTTGACCTGTCGTGAAGGTGTGTCGTTGGAAGCACTCTCAAATAAAACCTGCAATCTTTCTGTCTTTCGCTAGATGAATAAGGAAGTGATACATTATCCTGTCTACTTCTTGATGTTGTCATTCCAGTTTCTTCTTTGCTCTCCTCTACTTCGACTATAAAAAATCCTTTGGCAGTTGGAAATCGAAAAGAGTAGCCTAGCTGCGCTGCCCGGGCAAAATTTTGAGTTAACAATCTACCCAAAGTATTTCAGGATCCTTGCCGGTGCTACAGAGCCTGTGCACTGTTCAGAGCTTCTTCGGACTCGGATAAGGTTAGAAGAAGAACGGAGTACTTATATGTTACATCCGTGTGCCATGATGTTGATCCGTTGTTCAAAAGTTTGAGGTACTTGACTACAGCTATATTTTGGCTGTAGACAGCCTCCTCAATTTTCCATGGATGTAATAACTGAATCTGGAATATTCTGATCTGAGTCTAAAGATATAACTCTTGTGCTAAAGATAATAGTCATGTTTTGGTTCGATAGAAGTCATTCATGTTATTTTCCGTTTCTCAAATTTGTTTTCCAAATAATGCAGACACAGATATTAAATTGTATAGTTATTATACAACGTGGCATTTTTGGGGAGTTGAGATTTTGTGTCAGGATTGCCCAAAACAGTCTAATTCTTGAACGGACACGTAGTTGATAAGGTTGGTGGCATTCTCAACAAAAACATTTGTTTCCAAATTATTTTTTTTTCCAGGTAACAAAAAGCTGCGGTATTGTGTAAACTGTCTTTTGTAATTTGTTTCAGCGCTTTAATTAGCCGGCATACAGCAAAGGGATTGTGATTGATTACAGTATCTATATTAATAACAATGTCAATTTTCCGTGGTCGTTAACTATAGACTCAGAAACTACTAAGCTGATTGCTTTCAAATTGTCACACAACATTGCCTTTGACTCAACGCATGTTTTATGTAAGAAAATCGCACAAACCACGAACGACGTAGCTGCAGCAACGATCAAATCATTATTTGTTTCATTGCCGGCCCGGATTTGTTTTTAGTTGATCGGCCACAATTGATTACTAAGCAGAGCTGCCAATAGATGTCTCTCCCCCACCCCCCCCCCCCCCCCCATGATCCATCTCCAACATTTCTTTATCGATCGCTTTCAAATGTTCACAGAACGTTGCTTTAGGCTCTGCGCGTGTTTGTATGTATTAGTGTTGCACAAACCACGAATTACATAGCTCCTGCAACGATCATTTCATTATTTGTTTCGGATTTGTTTTTAGTTGATTGGCCAGTTTCGACTGTGTGTGATTGGTGTGTGTGAAACACTGAACTTCACCTTATTATATAATTCATTTCTACTAAATGCTTGAGACCTTCCCTGCTTGGTAATTAAAAAAAAAAAATTTCCCTTTAACTCGGCGGCTGCCACGCTGTGTTATGGCTTATAGCTAGCCTGCGATATCTACGCCTTTTTTGTGTGTGCTCGATTTTAAGGTTTACATCTAGCCTGCGATAGCGGCGACGTGATGCTCAACGATCATGTCACGGTAATCTTCGTACGCCTTTGAAAGGGCGGTTGGCACGTTGTGTTGTGGTTTTTAGCTAGGCTGCGATATCTGACCCAAAGTCTTCAGTCTTCGGTAGTACAGTTGTAAGTATTCCGCCCTTCACTCGGGTGACTGGTATTCTCTTCCCCGCTGGGTGCTAATTTTTCTGTTTCCCCTAAAAAGGCGGTTGCCACGTTGTGTTGTGGTTTACAGCTAGATTGCGATATCTGCGCTATTCGCCCAAAGACTTTTAGCCTTTCCGTGACGCTTCACTATTCACGATTCACGATTAAAAACTATTCGTTGATGACAGAAACTGTTAACTAAGACGGCTTTCAGCCCAGTTTGGTTTGGATCGACACTGATGCCAAAGTCAATTAAAAATCGTCCCTTCGGAGAGGGAGACAGAAACAGGTGCGAGTTTTTATTTCCGCTATTTGTGAGTATAGTGTTCTTTATTCGCGGAATATTACTGTGATTTCCATCACTGGTTAGGTGATAGAGTATTGTTTTTTTTTTTTCTTTCTTTCTATGTCGGGGGCACAATTAAACTAAACAGTCCGTGGCGACAACATGCGACGCTAACTTCTTCTGGCTACACCGACCTGCACAGACAGTAGTGACAATTTGTTGTTGTAAAGGTGATGGTGGTTAGTTGGGAAAAGCAGCTTGTAGTACTCGTATCGATAGGTGATGTGGTAGCTGTTACACTGACTACATTTACTTCTCAGTACAGATTAATGCTACCCTTTTCAGTTTGGGTGGACACGGATGCCTAGCAATAACAATATTTCGTCAGGCGAGGACTTTCCCATACTTCGGAGAGTATGATATGAATGAAGTGAAAAGGGGAAAGGGGGGTTTGGTGGGTTAATGCCAGACACTGTTAACAGAGAGCTTAAAACGTTTTTTAAAGCTCTAATTTCTTAACTATTTCTGTCAAAATAATTTCGCCACGTGATGATTTTTCAATCATTAGGTGAGGGATGTATGATTAGGGGGAGGGAAAAAAAAAGGGGGTTGGGGGGGGGGGGGGGGGTTATGACAGGACACTGTTTTAGCGCTAGAGAGCTTCACATTTTTAAATTTGAAAACTTCTCCTTTCTTAAATGTTTTTTTTTTTTACACATACCATCTTTCCTCAGCGTTTCTCATTTTTTGCCACTTTGGTAGTCTGTTTAGAAAGGCGTAGTAGTCATCCTTTTTACTCTGCAGCTGTGGTAAGTCACAAAGAATGCTTCAGCCTGCGATAAAACAAATAATCTTTTCTCTCTCTTCTCTCCCCCTTCCTCTT